TGCCGACTTATGAATAATTTATTATCCATCATACCCAACGAGAGCGACAGCACCTGTGCTGCTGAGCGCTAGCATGGTACGTGGGCATGTTGGATCTGAACGTAGTCTCTTGGAGTCACGCCTTCTCAATCCGCGCGCGAGAAGGCCTGGCGCATTGCCGTATAATGTCCATTGAAAGAATTCCTGCAAGACTATATAATCAGATTGCAGGATTTTTGACGCCACGTATATCGCCCACGCTTTATCGGTTTTCGCCCGGAACGTAATTGGTTCCCTCTGTCTTCTTGTGTGAACGATCCTATAGCGCCTGTCGGAGTTGACGTACCCTGACATTGCGCAACTTTATTGCGCATGCGCACAATTAACAATGAATATGCCTCCCCTAAGATTCAATCCTTGCTAAGGGGGCGTAGCTCTACTGAAGTCGTGAAGGAAGAATTTGTGCTATCTCTCCCTTTCTGTGTTCCTGGAAGATAACATTTGCTACGTTTATGTAGTTCTTAGGTTACCTAGGTGATATACCTACTGTCGTGACTCTGTGCACTAAGGGCGAAGGACGGTTTACTTCGCGTAGCGGACGGTGCCAGCTGGAACACGAACATTAGCTTTGGGCAGCCAAGCACGACGATTTTGAAATTAATTGGTGATTATACAGCGTAGCCAGTTGCTGGGCTTTGCTTCTTGGCTATATAAAAAATCGCTGTAGAAGCTTCTACGCACACGAACGATTAGCTACGCCTCTTTCTGCTATGGACGATGAATATCGTAAAAATTATATACGCCCCTTTTGTATGGACAGTGAATTTTATATAAGGTTACGCCACTTTGTATGGCCGATAAGTTCCGTATGAACTATACAGGGGCGTAGCTAGCATTGAGACAGAGGAGGCAATTGCCTCCACCGACTTATGAAAAATTTCAATCTCACTTTTCGAATGTTTTTTCTTCTCACAAACGATCCTATCTACCCAACCGGCAATGAAGGTCAGAACTTTTGTGACGTTTTCTCTGAATATGCCCCGTTGCAAAGCTAGAGCGCGAAAAATCCAATATGCAAATACACAACGGACGGGATGGCTTACCACAGTCGGATCGATCCGCGTGCTCTGCGTACTTCGGGGGCACCAGAAGCTGCAACGCAGGGCGTGAATCGCCTCTCGCATGCTATATAGCAGTGTAGTTAGCCCGCGTCAGACTCGGCGCGAGCCGGGAAGAGACCACGAGTGACAGCTAAAACTAAGGCCAGCCCATCAATTACTGGTACGGCGCATGCGTTTACTTACGCGTGCGCGTCACAGTGCGCCGAGGGTTTGCACTTCAGTGCTTTTCATTATCTATTGCAGGAATTCCTGCAACACCTATCAGATTGAAGGATTTTTGCCGCCACGTATATCGCCCACGCTTTCGGTTTTCGCGCGGAACGTGATTGGTTCGCTCTGTCTTCTTGTGTGAATAATCCTAAGGTGCCTGTCGGAGTTGACAGACACTGACATTGCGCAACATCATTGCGCATGCGCACAATGAATAATAAACAAGGCGAATGCCCAATGTGCCTCCCCTACGATTCAATCCTGGCTAAGGGGGCGTAGCTCTACTGAAGTCGTGAAGGAAGAATATTTGTGCTATATCTCTTTTTGTGTTCCTGGAAGGTAATATTTGCTACATTTATGTAGTTACTAGGTTACCTAGGCTGTCGTGACTCTGTGCACTAAGGGCGAAACATTTCGTAGCCATCTGGAACACGGACATTAGCTTTGGGCTGCAAAGGCACGACGATTTTGAAATTGATTGGTGATTATACAGCATAGCCAATGGCTAGGCTTGGTTTGTTAGGTAGCTAGCTTAAACAAATCGCTGTAGAAGCCTCTACGCACACGAACAATTTGCTACGCCTCTCTGTTATGAACGATGAATTTCGTAAAAAAACGCCCCTTTTGTATGGACCACGACAAGGTTACGCCCCTTTGTATGGACAATAAGTTTCGTAAAAACTATTTGTATATAATTATATGGACGATGAATTTTGCTGAACTTTTTCTGTACGACGCGAAATGGTCGTCAAACTTTTCCGCCATGAGAGTCGGACCCCCTTGTTTGTAGTACGGCAGCAGGGACATCTCATGGGAAGCTCGCTCAAGGAGCTTCGCATACGCCTCACTTTTACCGCATTTCAAAGGGACTGTGATTCAGCAAAAGTCCAGTCCCCGGTGCCCTTTAAAGGCACGCACAATAAGACACGCAGATGTTTTTGTAGCAGTGTGTGTCCCTTTATAATGTGAGTCAAACACGTGCTTGCTTACCTGCAACCTGGGACTGAAATGTGAGTCTAACGTGAGGCTTACCTGGAACCTGGGACTTAATTTTGAGTTCAATGTGTAGCTGTGGTAAGACATGTTCTTTGGTGTTCTAAAATAATAATTGTTGAGTTGAGTGTTACACTGAGTAAAAAACAATTGTATTTGAAAAAGTGAGTAGCTAAACGAACACTAAACCCTCAAGAATGTTAAAGACTAGTGGCAGTTTCTTGAGTGCAGATGTCTTATTTTTTACATTCTCGAGTAGACCCCAGCAATTACACTTGCAACAGTATTTAGTATTTTCATTCTAATAAGTGGCTATTTTTACCATTTGTTTTCTTGCTTTTATGTAAAAAAAAATGTCTTTTCCCTTGCGTTATTAGCACTTCAGCAAATGGCGTCCTTCCATGGAAGAGCTCCATGATCTACGGATTGCGGCATGCAACAGCAGAGAAATGATTGCTTGGTGGCTGTGAGCGCCTACGTTGAATCTGGAGATGTTCAGCTAGTTGCATTTATGAAATCAATCTTACAGCCAGTGTGGCAATGAAATAAAGGGTTCTACCCGACCCGGCTCGAAACCGTGCATAGAAGATTCTGCAAGTTTGTCCTTGGTGTATGTACAAAGAGCGGCTACCAATTTAGCTTGTTATGGTGAACTAGGAGGAGCTCCCTTGTTGAAACCTTCCCACATCTGTGGTTAACCCTCGGCGTGCATGCACAGCGAAGGTTATGGTACTTGGTCTGTCTGTCTGTCCACGTGATTTCTCTCACTACAGGCTACGAGGCGGCGAATGAGTGGTACCAACGGCTTTTGAACAACGGGAACATTGATATTAATGCTCCCTCCGCTCGCCCAAAGAATGCCAAGCATTTCCACTAGTAGTCGTTCGATAATTGGCTTCCTATAGCGATCTAACACTACAAATATCCAATTACCAGTTTTATACCCCAGTCCTCCACACACCACCTCTAGCTAGATACAAGGAACAGGTGACGATAAAATGATTACTTGTGGAAATGTTGAACATTGTTGGCGAGCGGGAGCGACCCAACTTGGGATTTGCCCGGGCTGCATAATGATTGTGCCGTCAGCGCACAGCTTTCCTTTCGTGAAGCAACCTGTCGCCGTTACATGCGTACTGTATAATTATTGCCAGAACGGTGAGCAGGTGAGCAGAACGGCTTACTTATGCTTTCAGCTCGTCAGTCGTGGTGCACCAGGCAGCTGCCATACAGCAGTATCTACACGAGCAATTCGAGCTTATTTCCAAGTTGCACCTTTGAGTGAAGATTGGGAAGAGGTACAGCCTCGGTCAGTCACCGAAGATTGCAGCGCATGCCGTCGAATGGAGAAGACTTCTCTCGCTGGCATGGATCGTCGCATACCGCGAGGCAGCGTGTGTGAAAATATGTAAGCGCGTAAAGAAGCCGCGCATGCGCACTTACACGACGTTCGCTGTTAGGTGCATTTTTGGCGAGCGGGAGCGATCTAACGATTGTGTATATACATGCGCAAAAAGTTGTTTATGGCATGCTCGGACTCGGTAACAATTCTCTGCTCTTGATTCCTGCATAGTAACTGTAGTCGACCCTCTCTCTCCTCGGCAGACTCGGCGGCAATTCTCTGCTGTTGATTCCTGCGTAGTAGCGCTAGGCGAGCCTCTCTCTCCTCGCTGGATTCGACGGCAATCCACCTTGTCTGATAGCTTCGGATCTGTCGGAGCCTTGCCGGTTGCGTTTCCTCTGATTCCGCAGCACGTCTAGCTCTTGCTCGTACACGACATCTCGCTAGTCGTGCTTCCCTTTCTTCCGCTGTTTTCGTGGCCATGCGTTGCCTTGCCCGTTCCCTATCACGTAGTCACCGTCGAGAAAGTAAGGAGCCTCTCTTTGCTCAGAAGTCTCACTGGCACTTCTCGCTAGTCGTGCTTCCCTTTCTTCCGCTGTTTCCGTGCCCGGCCAGGGATTGCCTTGCCCGGCGTTGCCTTGCCCGTTCCCTATCACGCAGTCGCCGTCGAGAAGACGAGCCTCTCTTTGCTCAGAAGTCTCACTGGCACGACGTTCTCTTTCCCTTTCTCGTCGACGACGAAGGGCATCTTCTCTAGACCGATCCATCGCAGAAAGTGTGATTGGCCTGTGTCACACTTTCCGCGAGTTAGAAAGAGCGCGTGGACGACGTATAGTATAGGAAATCGACTCACTAGGTTAGCTCGCTCCCACTCGCCAATAAATGGAATAATCCGCTCGAACGAACGACTAGGAATTATGAGTTGCCAGTGAGCATCTAGGTCACATTATCACCCAAAGAACAGCTCAAGACTTTCAATAATGCACATAATAGCTACAGCTTGAGACTTGGTTATAAAGGCACACAACGGGATTACTTCATGGGCACCAGGAGTGTAAGCACAATCACAATGTATAGATATCCCATCCCAGCCTTGTCTCCTTTCCTTTCTTACTATCCCTATATTCCTTCTTGGATTATACTAAGTATATTTATGGATGAACACTTTACCCCTGCTGTGCATAATATCTTGTCCTTTCGATGTTTTGTACTCTTCTTTTGTTCGTCCTCTTAGCAATTCCCCGTATTATGCTAATGAATCTTTCTACCATTCTGGGATGCTTTATGAAAGATGATTGTTATCTGCATGTGTCAAATGTGGCTGAGGTGCTGAAAGATGAAAGGCTAATTTGGGGTCCACCATTAAGCATTGACATACAATCTCACTTGTTTTACAGCTTTTATCCTACTTGCAAACAACACCCTTCCGTCACCCTCCAATTTTTGCCATTCCGAGTAAAAAGAAAATTGTGTTTACTGTTGAACACCAGTCCATGGGCCAGCTGGGTGCTGTGCAAGCAGTGAGACGAGCAGACTGTCGCATAGGCGGCATGGTAGGTCTCGGCTCCAAAGCCACGGGAGGCCCAATGGTCCCCACTGGAAAGAAGAAGTGGCACAGGCTCAAGAGCCAGTTGATCCGTGGCCTACAAACGGACTGTGTGTGTTTCTGTGGTGCCATAGCACAGCTGTGCAGTCTAGGGTCTGGAGGCAGGCGCAGGAGAAGACGAGACGACGGAAGAGAAAGAGATGGTGAAGGAAGGCAGTGAGCGTGTCTGTCAGTCGGCTAGCAGGGGAAAGAAAGAAGGGGAAAGGGCGCTGGCAATGAGAGCAAGGCCCAGTGTTGTGCTGGCCACGTCACTTATGTCTCAACTGGTGATCCTACTGTGTGGACACATACTCCAACTCCAGTATCATGGTTAGTGGAGACATCTGACTACAAAGAGTGGAGATGTATTTTATATGAATCGCTCACCCCTTGTGTTAGGTGCTGAGAGCGGTGAATGGTGTCCCATTCCAACCTCAGAGAAGGCAATTGGCTCAGATTGTGTGTGGACCAAAGTTTTTTGTTCACTGATAATACTGTTAACACCTCTCACACAACTCTCACTATCTGCAAAACAAAAAATATCGGTACCAAAACAAGCTGTAGTCATTCTTTGGTCATTCCAAGATTTTACTTGCTATATCTCTATGCAAAAGGCAAGCCATCTCATCAGGAAAGGAGACTGAATAATCCTGGATGGTGGGAGGACGGGATGGCCTGGTGGATTTGCTTCTCGGAATGGCTGGATGGGGGTGGATGGTTGCTTTGGATTTTGGAATTGGATTGGATCTTGGGAATGGATGGTTGGAAAAACAGTAAAGGAGCTCCGTCTCCGTGGCTATGTGATCAGGCTCTGTGTTGTATCTCGGACAGTCTCTGTTACTTCTGAAGAGATTTTGCCATTACTGGGCAAGGCTGGTTAGCATGAAGTGCAGCAAAAAGACAGTGGCAGAGTGTGTAGGCCTCATTAATTCATTGTGGGTTCTGACATGTTGTTCCCTAAAACAAAACGCGCTTGGTCTGAGACGAAGGTGACAATGATAGTGTTGTGAGGATCAGATGCTTCTAATGATTGCTGGCGATGGGGAACGAAAACCCTGGCCCTGGTTAGTACACAATCCAAAAAAGCCAAAACGTTCTTCAACTCTCTTCGCAGCTATCATCCATGTTCCACAGACACTCTAGACTCCAGAGGA